GCGGGGAAGTGGTGGGGGGGGGGGGGGACGTGGATGAGGGGGCAGGAATGGTGGATGGGGGGGCAAGAATGTGGATGAGGGGGCAAGAATGTGGATGAGGGGGCAAGAATGTGGAAGGGGGAAAGGCGACGTGCAAAATCCAAGCCAGGTACCCAAAGTATCTCGCTGTTTCCGCCACGCACCCCCTTCCTCCTCCTTCACCCTCCCTCCCGGCCGGCGCAGCAGCAGCGGCGGCTATGAACTCAGCGAGCAGACGGCCCCTTCTCCCCGTCTCACCTCGGTACTGGGTGTCGATCTCCCTCAGAAGGGAGACGCTCCGCTGCAGCTCCAGCGGTAACGCCTCCACACTCTCCAAGTAGTCCTCCACATAACCGGAGAGCCGGGCCTTGGGGCACTGCCCGAGCCCCAGCATAGTCCTGCTGGCGGCCGCCCCGGTAAACTCTCCAAACAAGCCCGGGGTCCGGTACGGCCTGGCTCCGCTCCGCGCCTTCGCACTCGCCCGCGTCACGTGACCTCGACCGCGTCTGCTCTCGATTAAAAAAAACAAAATACGATCGTATTCTGATAATCTGTGGTGATTACAGCCAGGCCGTCGGAGGGAATTATATATACTTCGAACTTCGCCTTTGAAGGAGGAAAATAAAACTTGGTGCTGGAAGGGCGTCGATACCACCTCTAACGGTTGGTGACCATGGAGACGGTGTCCATGGCAATGGCCGTTAAAAAGCGGACATTCTGAGAATGAGCCCCGTGTTGTTGATGTACTTTGTACATTACCTGCGTAACTTCCGGCTTAGACGGATGCCCCATCTGTGTCCGCGCGCTCCGTCGTGGAGAACATCTTGGCGCTTTCAGTGCGGAAGCTACAGACAAGGGGAACCGCTTCAAAGCGGGGCATTTACTGCCACGGGTCCGGGGACTTTCCCCTAGGCGCATTTAGAATGAAGAGAAACTAAAGTCCTCCGTTAGTAGCCTAGTAAGCAGGTCTTCAGAATGCCTCGATGTTCATTTGGGGACGACAGGAGTTTATATGTCAACAGTGTAACAGTCACTTTACAGTTGTGGAACCTGAAAGTTTGCCACAGGCACAGTGGTTGTTTGTTCATTTCTTTACAAATAATGGGAGTTTACATTCTTGTCTATTTGTGGCATTTAGCAAAATAAATAAGATGGTTTCGGAAATGTCAGAACTGCATATGATTATGCTAATTAGCATACTTTCCCCCAATAACAGCAAAACGCTGGAACTGCATCTGAAATGAATGCAGATCGGCTAATTAGTTATCAGTGAACAACATGTAAATAAATGAAAATGTGCTTGGAAAAGCTCGTGGTAATCAGGAAGGGTAGCACGGTTCTGCAAGATGGAAGTCCTGTTAACCCAATTTGGTGGCATTCTTTGAAGGATTAACATTCAATGTGCAGAAATGTGAGCCCATAAATGTACTGTAGTTGGATTTATAGGAAGTGTTTAACATGGTTCCTCATCCGTATTGTTTCACAATCTATAACATGACAGTGTGAAGGTGAGATACTAGCCTGGCTAGAAGTCTGGCCAACTGGTAGAAAACAGAGATATTTATAAATGGGATAACACAGTATGGAGCTGGAGGAGCACAGCACGCCAAGCAACATCAGAAGAGCAGGAAAGTTGATGTTTCAGGTCGGGACCGTTCTTCAGAAATGGGGAGGGGGAAAGGGAGCTCAGAAAAAAATAGAGAGGAGTGGGGGTGGGGCTGGGGAAAGTAAATGAGTGCAGATAGGGAGTGGTGGGGATTGGTCAGTGGGATGGGTGGGGTGGATAGGTGGGAGAGAAGATGGACAGGTTGTGTCAGGTCAAGGAGGCAGGAATGAGAGGGAGGGTTAGACATGGGATGAGGCCAGGGGTGGGGAGATTTTAAAACTGGTGAATTCCACGTTCAGGCCATGGAATTCACCAGTTTCAAAATCTCCCCATCCTCGGCGTCATCCCGTGTCCAATCCTCCGTCTCATCCCCACCTCCTTGACCTGACACAACCTGTTCATTTTCTCTCCCACTATGCGCTCCTCCCATCCCACTGACGAAGCCCCACCACCACTCACCTATCACCATCCCACCGATGTTCCCAGCCCCATCCCTCCTCTCTATTTATTTCTGAGCTCCCTTCCCCCTCCCCATTTCTGAAGAAGGGTCCCGACCTGAAACATCCACTTTCCTCTTCCACTGATACTGCCTGGCCTGCTGTGTTCTTCCAGCTCCACACTGTGTTATCTCTGACTCCAGTGTCGGCAGGTCTTACTATCTCTGAATGATATTTATGAATGGGTCTTTTCCAGTTTGGCAGGATGTGATGAGTGACGTTTCCTGTGATTCTATGCTGAATTGCCAATTTTTAAAATAATAACTCAGATATCATCATAGAATCCCTACAGTGTGGAAACAGGCCCTTTGGCCCAACAAATCCACACCAACCCTTGGAGTATCCCACCCAGACCCATCCCCCTATAACCCACACACCCCTGAACACTATGGGCAATTTAGCATGGCCAATCCACCTAGCCTACACATCTTTGGATTGTGGGAGGAAACCCACGCAGACACGGGGAGAATGTGCAAAGTCCACACAGACAGTCACCCATGGCTGGAATCAAACCTGGGTCCCTGGTGCTGTGAGGCTGCAGTGCTAACCACAGAGCCACCGTGCTGCTGCCAGATGAAGAGATTGAAGGCATAGTGGATAAAATTACATCTGATGACATTTGACAGATGGGTGGCATATTGGTTAGCACTGCTACCTGACAGTTCCAGGGATCTGGGTTTGATTGTGGCTGTGGGTACATTGGATGGCATTTGCATGTTCTCACCATGTCTGTGCGAGCTTCTGCTGGGTGCTCCAATTTCCTTCCACAGTTCAAAGACATGCAGGTTAGGTTGATCGGCCATGCCAAATTGCCCTGTTGTGTCCAGGGATAATCCACCAGGCCAGGTGGATTATCCATCATCAATGCTGAGATAGGTTGAGGTGTTCTTTGGAGGGTTGGTGCAGACATGATACGCTGAATGACCTCTACCTGCACTGCAAGGATTCTGTGATAGGTGGGAAAGTGTTGTGAAGACGACACAACAAAGTGCAGACTGGTTATAGATAGACCAAGTGAGTGGACAAAAATTGGCAGATGTAGTATGATGTGGGCAAATGAGAAGTTGTTCACTTTGTCATGAAGAATAAAAAGGCAGAGTATTATTTAAATAGAAAATAACTGCAGAATTCTGTGGCGCAGAAGAATCTATGTGTTCTTGCCCATAAGACATAAAAAAGTACAGCAGAACAGATCCTTCGGCCCACAATTCTCTGCCAACCATGATGCCATTCTAAACTAATCCCATCTGCCTGTACATGGTCTGCATGTGCTGTTGCCTGCCTGTTCATGTGTCTCTTTACATAAATCACAGAAAGTTAGTGTCAAGGTACAGCAAGTGAGTAAGAAGGTGAATGGACTGCTATCCTTTATTATAAGAGGAATTGGACAAAAGCCTCACAAGTTTATGCTTCAGTTATGTAGAGTATATCAAATAGTGTGTGTGTAGTTTTGGTCTCCTTATTTAAGGAAGGATGTATGTGTGTTGGAGGCAGTTCAGAAAACATTTACTAGCTTGATACCTGAAATGATAAGATTGTCTTATGAGGATAGATTGGACAGGCAGTGCTTGTTTTTACTGGAATTTAGGAGATCGAGGGAATCATTTGAAGTTTATAAAATCCTGACTGGTCTTGACAATCATAGAATCCCTATAGTGTGGAAGCAGGCCATGCCACCCATCAAGTCCAAACCAACCCTTCAAACCGCATCCCATCCAGACCCACCCCCTATCCCTGTATTTCCCATGGCTAACCCTCATAGCCTGCACATCCCTGGACACAGTGTGACTGGGTCAAAATCCTGGAACTCTCTCCCTTACATCATTGTGGGTAGAACTACAGCAAGTGGACTGTAGTGGTTCAAGGCAGCTCACCATCACCTTCTCAAGGGCAACTATGGATGGACAATAAATGTTGGCCCAGCTAACGACACCCAAATCCCATGAATACATTATAAAACAATTTATCTCAGTGTTTCATAACAGGAATGGGAACAAGCTGGTTCCACCCCTTTCTCCCAGGTCCTGGGGTGCCAACAATTGAAGAATCCCAGCATTCCTCTGGTTTACATTGCAGAAACCAAAATCAAGCCAAGGAACTTAAGAGTTGAGTGTGTGAACCCCCTGAAATATTTCAGATGATCAGAGATTTGTAAATGAAGATCATGCCTGAAAAATTTCAATGATTTATTTTTGCTGAAGAGATTAAAGGAGCAGTCAGAGTAATGTCTATTGATGTTACTTATATCGACTTCCAGAAAGCATCTGATAAAGTCTCTCATGACAGACTGTTACTTAAAGTTAAAGTACATGAAATGGAAAGCATATTGTTGACCCAGTTGGGAGATCGGCTGCAGCAAGATACCAAGTAGGAACAATGGGTATATTTTCTGATGGGCAAAATGAATGTAACTAATGGCTACATCCGGGGTGGCACGGTGGCACGGTGGCCTGGAGGTTAGCACTACTGCCTCACAGGGCCGGGGACCTGGGTCCAATTCCAACCTTGGGTGACTGCCTGTATGAAGTTTGCACATTCTCCCCATGTCTGCATGGGTCCCCTCTGGGTGTTCCAGTTTTCTCCCACAGTCCAAGGATGTGCAGGTTAGGTGGATTGGCCATGCTAAATTGCCCATAGTGTCGAGGGATATGTGGGTTAGCCATAGGAAAAAGTTAACAGGGTTAGGGAAGGGGCTGGGGAAGGTGAGTCACTCTGGCTGAATAGCCTGTTTCCACTGTAGAGATTCTATGGTGCCTCACAAATTGAGGCCTCAATATGTACAATCTTTGGTATTTATGCTATCTATTTAACAAAGAAAACCTTGACAAAAGCCCTCAACATTACCTTCTGTATTTGTGTTATGACTGAATCATTTAAGAAGAGTTACTCTCTAAGAAGAGAATAAGAAAGTGAAGAAGGCATTTGATATGCTTGCCTTTATTGATTAGTACATTGAGTATAGGAGTTGGGAGGTCATGTTGTGGCTGTACAGGACATTGGTTAGGCCACTTTTGAAATACTGTGTGCAATTCTGTTCTCCCTGCTTTGGGATGATGTTGTGAAACTTGAAAGGGTTCAGAAAATATTTACAAGGATGTTGCCAGGTTGGAGGGTTTGGGCTATAGGGAAGAGGCTGAGTAGGCTGGGGCTATTTTCCCTGGAGGGGTGACCTTATAGAAGTTTATAAAATCATAAGGGACATGGATAGGATGAATAGCCAAGGTCTTTTCCTCAGGGTGGGGGAGTCCAGAAGTAGAGGGCATAGGTTAGAAGTGAGAGGGGAAAGATTTAAAAGGGACCTGAAGGGCAACTTTTTCACACAGAGAGTGTTCATGTATGGAATGAGCTGGCAGGGGAAGTGGTGAAGGCTAGTACAAATACAACATTAAAATGCATCTAGATGGGTTTAAGAATAGGAAGGCTTTACAGGGATATAGGCCAAATGCTGGCAAATGGGACTAGATTTATTTAAATATCTGATCAGCACGGATGAGTTGGACCGAAGCGTCTGTTTCCGTACTGTACATCTCAATGATTCTATGACTTGAGTAGCAAAAACAGAAAGGCAGATTATTATCTGAATCTAAATGGATTGATAACACCTGGGTGTCCACGCAGACCAGTTGCTGAAAGTCACATGCAGGAACAACAGCCGATGAAGAGGGCAAATGGTATGTTAGCTTTGGATTCAAGTACAGGAGCAGGATGTCCTCTACAATTTCACAGGGTCTTGGTGAGACCACACCTAGAGTACTGTGTGCAGTTTACATCTCCTTTTCTGAGGAAGGTGTTCTGGTGATGGAGGGACTGCAATGAAGGTTTACCAGACTGATTCCTAGGATGGCAGTACAAACATACGAAGAGATTGGGTTAGTTAGACCAGTGTTCAGAAGAATGACAGGTATCTCATAGAAACCTATACAATTTGTAACAGGACTAGATATTCCTAATGACAGGGGAGTCTGGAACCAGTGATCACAGTTTAAAGATATGGGATAGGCCATTTAGAACTCAAATGAGGAGAGATTTCTTCTGAGTGTGGGGAGCATGTGAAATTCTCTGCCACAGAAAGTGGTTGAGGCTAAAATATTGAATGTCTTCAATAAGGGGTTAGATACAGTTCTTAGAGCTTGGGGGGGGGGGGGGGGGGGTCATAGGCTATCTGTAGAAAACAGGATTAGGGCACATTAGATGATTGGCACTGAGCATACCGAATGGTGGAGCAAGCTCAAAGGGCCTTGTGGCTTACTTCTGCTCATGTCTTCTATGTTTAGCCCCCTAAATCCAAAAGTTACCCTGAGAAAATCTCACTGTGCCCTAAAAATAAATTGAGGGCTACATCTCAGCATCTGTGTCTCCTTAGAATGAGCAGTTAAGAAATTAATTATTCAGTTGAAATGTCCATAAAGAATTTGAGCTTTGCTCACTTATTTTATTCACTAAAATTAATCAAAGATAAACATCCAGTCAAACAAGTACACATTTGTGTAATTATACACATTAAAAAAACTGTATACTTTAAAACTAATACCAGGTGATAATTTTATTTGAATAATTGTTTGTTCATCTTTGTTTTTAATACAAATTTCTACATTCCTTTCCAAGCTCTGCATACTCCAACAAATTGGCTTCTTGAGCCTCATCCTCTGAATTCCCTCCACTGGCCTAAACCAGTCAAATTTAGTGATTTCCTCTCTTTCTGTGCAGTTATTTGGTTCCCTGACAGCATATTACTTATGAATATTCACTCCATCTGTTGAGGTAAATTCCTTGTTTGGATATGTCTAAGCCATAAATGATTTCATCATCTTATCTGGGTTCTGTCATACCTAATTAGTCTAATTCAGGATTGACTGGGGTGTTCACAGAACTGACAGTCCATACTTTTGCTGTTAATGCTTGGAGAAACTACTACAGCTCTCTTTTGCCAGCTTCATGTACATTAGATATTGAGAGTTTGGTGTGGATAGATCTCAAAAACATGCTGAATGATTGTCTGCAATACAGAAGATTTCTTCATTTTTTTTTTAAACATTTATACCGAAAACCTTACTGTTAGTCTACCAGGACAATTCTCCACAGAATATCTGCTTGGGCATTCCATACAAAAGACATGACCTGCCCATCTGAGCTAAACTTTCTGCAATGTAGTTTCCAAGTTGTTGAGCCCAGCATGACGGACAGCTTTGTTATTCATGATCTTGTCCTGCCATAAATTCTTTGGAGAGAATTCAGGTATTTTTGAAACATTCCAGAGCTTTGCTGTGGTGCTTGTAGCAAATTCAGAATTTTGCAGCATACAAGGGCAAAGACCCTGTAGTTTTTTGATTTTCATCTTCAACTTAATGCCATCCACTTGCTGGTATAATCATGGAGTCTGTTGGATTCAGAACTTGCTTTGTGGATGCATGCATAGATAATTAAATAGGGAACAGACCACAAATGTACGAAGGCTTTCTACAGCCTGGAGACTAGTGATATCGACTCTTACACCAGCGCTGGCTAAAACATAACTTCAGTTCAGGAGACGTTGATTTAGAGATCAAAACCTTTTGCAGCACTTAAGAATTTGTTTGCCATAATCTGAAAGTCTTCCTTGTTGCTAACTGAAGCAGTATCATCTCTGTACAAAATCAGGCAGCTTCTCAGGTGACTTTGCAGAAGGCATGCAGTGTGGACAGACTGAAGAACCTCATTGAACAAAACTTAATGTTGCTGCTTGACAGCACGTGTCCAGTGGTTTCCTTAAGCATTGCAGCAGAGATTGAAAGACTGGGGAGGCACATCTCCAACTGCACCATCACTATGAACATCACACTTTGGCTTCTGAAATTCAATTCCTAGCTGCTTGTTTTACCTCCTTGCTCCTAGCTTTCAAATCCCCTCTTTTCAATCTGCAACTAAGTTTCATGATGATCCCTTTTCACACTGTCCACTATTTCTCCTCCTCAATCAAATACATTCTGATAAGTCTCCCTTTTTGCAAGGAAAAATGGGTTGTTGCATGCATTATAGCAGCTGTTACGTATAAACAGTTTACAACAAAAGAGGGCAGAAAACAGTACCAAAGATGAAATATTTTTAATATTTAAAATTACAAAACAAAAAGATGAACAGTTGAAAGGGTTTGTTTTATACATCATGTTCCGAAACAAACTTATATTGATGTGTAAAGCCTACACCAAATCTAGAATAGAAGATCACTGACTTTAACGAATTGATAAAAGATTACAAGCACAACTCAGAATTGACCATACCGTACTATAGTAGGTAAAGGTGCATCAGTAGATTGCTTTAACAAATGTGTTGCCAGTAGTAGACAGCAATCTTGTACAAATTCTGACTTCTAAATTTTCACAATATAGTACACAGTGCTGGTCCTGTAATAAACAGTGTAGTAACCTGAACATTTGATACTGACAAGGAGCTCTTTACATTTTAAATCAGCTTCACTACCTTTATGGCTGAAGCTTTGAACCTGGTAAGGATCACTGGTGGCCAGAATGCACAGAGGAGACCACTTTCAAATTCAAACAAACAGTATGTCAGATTGCTACTTGTTGGCCATTAAATTCAAATGTAATAGACATAAAATCTACTAAACTGAAATTGGGACTCTCTTGTTTTCTGTCTCCCATTCTGGCATAAACTTTACTTACAATATCCACTAAATACAATAAAAACAGCCCTACTAGGTACTACACATCTTTAAATTCAATAAGCAACCGATTGGTTACAGTATTTTAAAACATCCCAAATCTACATCTTGAATTTTATTGCCAAAATTAAATTAATTCTTCTCATACTGCATTACCTGTTCAGACCATTGAATGATGCAAGAAATATGTTTAAGAATTAACTTTAACATTATCAGTGCATGAAGGATTATAGGAAATAATTCTCATAACATTTAAAGGTCTATATTGAAGAACTGGAACCCTGAAACACAAGTATTTTACACAAACTCACTGCATGATTGCAACTGGAGTAGTGTGTGCAGTTCTCATCGCCCTGTTATAGCAAGAATATTATTAAACTGGAGAGGTTTCAGAAAATATTTACTAGGATGTTGCCGCAAATGGAGGGTTTGAGATATAAAAATAGACTGGAAAGGTTGGGACTTTTTCTCCTGGAACAGAGGAGACTGAGGGGTGACCTTATTGAGGTTTATAAAATCATGAGGGGTATAAATAAGGTGGATGATCAGGGTCTTTTCCCTAGGGTGGGGGAGTTCAAAACTAGGGGTATATTACTAAGGTGAGAGGAGAAAGATTTTAAAAAGACATGATGGGCAATTTTTTTTTTTTTTTTCAAAGAAGTGGTTCATGTGTGGAATGAACTTCCAGAGGAAGTGGTGGATGCAGGTACAGCTACAACATTTAAAAGACACTTGGATGAGTTCATGAATTGGAAAGGTTTGAAGGGATATGGGCCAAGTACAGGCAGGTGGGACTAGTTTAGTTTGGGAACACTGTTTGCATGGACTAGTTGGACTGAAGGGTCTATTTCCGTGCTGTCTGACTATGACTCTAACTTAATTTTGGCATTCACATTTTTGCTAATGTTGTCTCATTAATCTCCCTTTAGTTACTTTCACAATCCAACCCCCCCAAGGATTTTCATTTATGCATCTATATTAATCATTTTACAAACCCTTTTTTTTTACACAAACAGAATGTTGTTAATTCACTTTCACAATGACACTGATAGTCCCAATATCAGTGAAATACATGCATTCTCTTTAGCTGTGTGCACACTTAATCATTTCATGGGTCAGAAACCTACTGTTACAAGTGCGTAATCTTAAAATTACTATGTACTAGGATTGTAACTTCTGGTTTGTAAGATATTATTCTGGTTCTGAAGACTGATTTTAAATGTAGATGGGTGAAAAAAGATTCATCTAGATAGCTGGCAGACAGGCCTGGGGTAACTGCAGGTCAAAGGGCATTAAAATGGTGAAGCCACAGTGTGAGTCATAGAGATATACCGCACGGAAACAGACCCTTCGGTCCAGCTTGTCCATGCCAACCAGATACCTTAAGTAAATCTCATTTGCTAGCTATAGGCCCATATCCTGCTAAACACTTCCTATTCATATTCCCATCCAAATGCTTTTTAATTATTGTAATCATACCAGTCTCCACCATTTCCTCTGACAGCTCATTCCAAATACGCACCATCCTCTATGTGAAAAAGTTGCCTCTTAGGTTCCTTTTAGATCTTTCCTGTCTGAATTTAAACCTATGCCCTCTAGTTTTGGACTCTGCTAGCCCAGGCAAAAGACCTTGCCCCTTTACCCTATCTATGCCCATGATTTTATCAACCACTACACGGTCATACCTTAGCCTCCAGCACTCCAGGAAAAATGACCCCAGACTATTCAGGCTCTCCCTGTAGCTCAAAACCTCCCAACCCTGGCAACATCCTCGTATATCTTTTCTGAACCATTTCTAGTTTCACAACATCCTTCCTATAGGAGGGAGACCAGAATTGTACTCAATACTTCAAAAGCGGCTGAACCAACATCCTGTGCAGCTGCAATATGACTTCCTAACTCACGTAGTTACCCCAAAACAAAGGATGGTTTTATAGCGACTTGTGTACATGAAGGATTTTACAATTTAAACCCTTTCTTTTGTTTGAAAAATAAAATTTAACTGGTTCTGAAAACAGACCATCTGTCACATGACCACAGAGATAGCTGAGAGGGGAAGATTGTTTTGTTTTAATATATTTCTGTTTTCATAGCCTGTGGGGCAGTCACTCTGAGAGGGCACTCCGTGCCCAGCAAAAACAAGAACAAGGGGCAAAGAGTCATCAGGAACCAGGAGCATTTCTGATTTGGTATTACTGCGCAGGAATTGCAAGACCCCCGTTGAGAATGAAAAGTCTAAACTGATGAGGAATAAAACACTGTCAAATTAATCTAGTGATAATAGAAGAGATCAGCTGTGCAATCCTTGCAGAAAATGAGATTTCCAAAACTGGGAAATGAAAGAGGATCACTGAATTCCTGGGCACTCTTATAATCCGTTGGGTTATGATTAGGATTGGTTCCAGGAGAATTAAGTGATCAGTCTCAAAACTTTCATGTTAAAAGGAATTCTTGGTTGAAATTAAAAGTAGAATGGGAGGAATTCTGTTCAGATTTTTGGTGTAGTTACAGGGGCTTATGAAATGTATTATTAGTAGTACTTGTTTTGTTTTGAAATCTGTCACCGTAGAAGATGTCTAAAACATGGAATCTTGTACATTCTTTTCAATGAATAACTGGGATTTCAAATTTCTTTAAATCATTATTGGTCTGTATGGAGATTGTAACATTATATTTAAATTTGAAAACATAAGAGCGTGGCATCAACTCTATTTTCAAATTATTTAACCAATTACCTAACTGCTGTGTATATAAAAGGGACAGAAAAAGGGATTCAGTACAAGACGGTTTTAACCTAATTAAAGTACAATCACTTGCAATATCACACAAAAGCAATTTTCAATAGTAATTTGAAAATGCAAAATTAAACATTTTGTAGCCAATTCTCATGAAATGCCATGCTAACTCTGTTCCTTGCTCTGCAGATGCTACCTGAATTGCTGAATTTTCTGAAATGGTTTTCACAATTTTTTGTTTTTTTATCCTACTCTAATCAAACTCGTCAATAATGGGATTAAAGTCTACTTAAGCTAACGATGTTATTGAAGTTAAGTTGCTCACAACACAAAAAAGATATCCAATTGTCTGTAGATCAACATAAATTTCATCTAACCTTTCAATTAGAAAAATGACAAAAAATTGGCGTTTGTATTTAAAAGCATTTAGGTGAATCTCAAAGCCGGAAGCAGAGCTGAGACCCCTGCCAAGTGAAGAACAGAATAATATTTTTAAGGTTCAATTTAACAGTGTGAACAGGTCTCTCCCTGTCATTATTTTTCCTGTCTTAAAGCAGATATGCTCTTGTACAGCTATTAAAATTACTTATGAAAGCTTGACTATTTCAATATTGCAAAACAAATGCTTACAATTGTGTTTTAGGATTACTCTGAACTACTATATAAAGAATACTCAAATTAATTTTAAATGGAACACCACTCTTCTGCATAGGAGTCTTCTTTAATAGTAAAAATTGGGTGCCTCAGAGATCAGTGCTTGGACCACTGCTGTTCATTATTTACACGAACAACTTAAACTAACTTGGGAATCAAAAATGCTATAACAGAATTAGGGGGTTGCGCACCATTTTGGGAAGGTCTAATTAACACAGAGGAAGATTGTGACAATATACAGGACGACATTAATAAACTTACTGATTTTTGAGTGTCACTGCCAAATGCACTTCAACATAGTATGAGGAAGTGCATTTTGGTGTGAAGAATAAAGAGGCCTCATACTCTTGGAGCATAAGCGTCAAAAGGACAGAAGATGGCAGAAGGATCGGGGGCAGTGGGTTGAGTGAAATAGGCAGACAAATCACAAAACAGTAACACAGGTTAATAAAGAAAAGCACACACAGAACATGGGTTTCATTTCAAGAAGGGTGGAACTGAAAAGCAGGCAAGTTGTGTTCAACCTGCACAGGACCATGTTTGTAACACAGCTAAAATACTGTGAACAGTTCTGGTCTCCATATTATGGAAATAAAATTGTCGAAGGAAGCTTGCACAAAGCATAAACAAAGATATGAACATATTGAGAAGAATGCCATTTCTGTGCTGTAAATACTGTAAAAATGGATGGTAGGTGGATGATGTCTCTCAATGTCTATGATACAAACCAATTTTCCATGACATTCTAACCTTCCATATAATCTGAATTCAAAAACATTCCCTCAAGAAAACTTTAATTGAGTCCAATTCTAAGTGCCTCACTTTAGGGAGGATGCGAACACATTGGAGAAAATGCAAAACGATTCTCGATATTGGTTCCAGCATTGGGAGCATCAGTAGTCAATATAGGTTGGGGAAATTAGGGTTGTTCTCATTGGAAAAGAGAAGGATGAAGTGAGAGTTAGAATGAACTGCTGGACAGAATATAACAGGTAGGTGCAGTTGACACATTCAGAAGGGAAGTAGATTGCTATTTGAATAGAAAGAATGTACAGAGTTATGAAGAGACAGCTGGGGAATGTCACGGAGAGAACTGTTCATTTGGACTGGCAGTGCAGGCATGCAGGCCTGAAAAAGCCTTCTTCTATGCTGTAACAATTCTGTGAATTACTTCAGTTCTGTCTAATTTCTCCCAAAGTCAGTATTTTGTCTACTAATCCTCAATTCTAAGTTAACATTTATTAAAGGAACTGTTTACTTCAACATTTGTAGATTATTGAATCCTTACCCTTTATATTATCTTTCCATGTAATATAAGTCACTAGGTAGGTCTAAGGAGTAGTGTCTTCATTGTTGGCATTATATTTCAGAAGGGGTTTCAAGGCTTTGAGAGGTAAAGTCACCATAGTCCTTCTGGACCACAGGGCTGCTTTCTTGTTAGAAAGAGACGGTGGTGGTTTTACCTGGATGGTCACTATACCTCAGGCGAGGGGAGAGGTTTGAGGAGGAGAGTCCTCCATGGTAACCTCAGCCAGAAAGGGAAGTGAACTCTCAATGAAAACCAGCCTTCCAATCTGAGCTTCTAAATGCCGGTGGATCAGCCTGATGGTGTGTCATTCCAAATATTCCTTCTACACAATTCAAGTCATGAATGACAAAAATCTATCACTGAACTTCTGGTTTCAACAATTCGAGGAGACAGACAATACAAATATTTCCCACATCCATTCTAATGTACCAAAATCCTCTGATAAATACAGGCTATGACATAGAAAGGTTAAAGACAAAACCTTACATTCGAACGAAATCACAAAATACATAAGATGCAACTTAAGTGCAACAGTAAAAATCTTTGATCTCTTCCCTTCACCGTCTAGTTTGTGGTTATCCTGCTCATTAAGTCATGTACAGTATCAATTAAAACTGAATTAAAATATATTTTGATTATAGCTCCCATTGAGAATCTTACAATTAAAACTACATATTACGCAGGTTTTTGTCAGGTATTGAAAAGGTCAATATTTGTCATCCAGGTAATTATTTCAAGAAATTAAGATACTAACTATTTCGGGCTCAATTTCAATACTACATCCATTCCATTGCTTGTACACATCTGCCTTTCAGCTCCCATCATCTAAACTTATCTGTCAATACAAGGTATAGCAGTTATTCCTTACTACGCAGCTCCCTTCACTAACTAGAATTGTCTGTAAAGTCCATAGTTTGCTCTAGATAATCAGCTTCTGCTGACTCTGTTAGTAAGAAAGCATTTGCTGTATGACACAATAGTTGTATTAATTCAATATCTTAGTGTTTCAATTTGTTAGTTCCGAATTGACTTTATTTTAAATTGTGATGGCATCAAATGTGTGGCTAAGGCATTGAAATGTTGGCTGATACATTAAAATAACAAAATAAAATCAGAAACTATTAAAAAAATTAAAAATTGACAAATGAAAAAATCTTAAACCAATTCTACATTAGCATATTGGAAACTCGGTGCTATAATGTTTCTTTAACTGATGGGAGAACTAGAGATTTTAATAGTGTTTACAAGCAATAGAAAATAAAACATTAAAAGGGTGAACACTTCTGCCTCAAGTGAAAGGTAAGTAGCTGAGAGCAGCAAAAATGATACGTTTTTCACGAGGTTGTATAAAATTTATTTAAAGCAAACTTTAGAATAGAATGTGTCATTTTAGATCAAGTTCAGAATTTGGGTCGGTTGGATCATTGCTTTCACTGGGTTGCCACATCAGTTTAGGGTTAGGAATGATACCTGTTCAATCAAAATAGAGTTGCAGCTCATTGCTGATTTGCAAACAAAATACAACTGAAGCATCCACCTAATGTGAAATGTCAGTCTCGTAGTTAAATTTAAGTCCAGTGAAAGCAGCACTGTGATATGATCAGAATCTTCGACCTGAAATAGGTAGTATGCTTTATTCCAGACTCTGTTCAGTCTAAAGTATACATGGTTCCCTGACCAAAGGTATGCTAACTTGCTCGGTGACCAAAAGACTGGTCACATGACTGAATCTTTTCTCTTTCTAGTTATTTATCCAATTAAATTCAGTTTCAGTGCTTTTAACCTAGATTTTAGGGACCAATTCCATAAACCTACAGTTCCAACACTTTTGAATAAATTGATAGTTAACAAATTAAAATGGGAAGATATTACTGTTTTAGAATCTTCCGATGATTGAAGTGACATTGGACTCAAAACATCAGCTCTCTTTCCACAGATGCTGCCAGATTTGAATTTCACTAGTACTTTGCTTTTTAGATGTCCAGCATCTACAGAATTTTATTTTTATTTGATCATTTATAAACACACGTTGTGGGGGTTATCCATAACTGGTACATAGACAGCTTTATTTTGAAATTAAGTCATATTGCTGGCGTGGAATAAGAGGGCACTTCAATTAGTACCTGGACACAATGATGGAGTATCACAGAGGATCTACTATACACATTACAAAAAAAATACAAGATATATTGTCTGTTTCTCCTTTATGCTAATTCAAGTAGTCGTAAGAACATTAATTATTGTAAATTGAAGGGTACTTCAAGTTCAATAGTACTTATTCATATTAGATTTGCACCAACAGTCCAGAAAAAAAAAACTTGACCACAATATTTCTTTCAATTTTAGAAATTGTAAGGCACTGCAGCTTTCATTTTTTTATCTCAAACGAAACAAACAACTAACTACAACTGCAATATGTGCCTTTTACAATCATCAAGTAATATAAGAATTCTGTTGCATTTTTCTAAGTATATACACACACATAACACTTTTCCAATTACTTCATTAGAAGATTTACAAAACGCTTCTTTTTTTTTTTTTACCTTGTATTAGGTTCTGAGGGATTCACTAATGCAGGAGCTAGGTTTAACCGATATGATTCTTCACACAAAAGTACTAAATCCTCAATTTCACTTCCTTTGAATTTTCTTTTACATATCTTCACCGTAACCCTGTGTTTCAAGAACAATTTCATTGCCTCTTTTGCTGCCATGTCTTTGGCACTCACTTTGCATTTGCCATATCCTGTTGCCAAATACACAGCCTTGCACCTTAGTTCACAAACAATCCCTTCACGTGCAGAGCTTTGTGGTAAATGCAATTCAGAAATATCTTTCAGGGGAACACACACACTTTCAAGGGTCCCCTTTACTGACTGTATGCAGTTAGTCAAAATGCTCAAATGGTTAAGCTCATTGCTGAAACCACCAGCTGACACCAACTTCCACGCTATAGCTTTGTAGAGTTTGTTGTAAAAGGTCTGCTTCTCTTTTATAGCCTCAGGAGTTAAACTGACCACCATTACGGGGGTCTTGCAGCTTTCTGAAACAGGGGGCTGCACAGCTTTTTGGGAATTGCCAATTGAGGCAGGGCGATCAACAATGTCTGGCTGAATACTGGGCTTAACTTCTGCAGAATTAGACGAGAAGTTCTTGGCTTGTGCTGGAGTGTCAGGCTGATGCAGCAGTGTCTTCTGTTGGTTCACAAGAACCTGCGTAGGAGCACTAACTTTCTTCACTTCAGTCTCTTTTGAAATCTGTCGAGCCTCCCTTTGATTCGAGCTGGTGGATGGTGCCATACAGACTGGAACTTCAACCTGAGGTTCAGATAAAGGAGTTGATGGTCGACTAGAAGGAAAGCCATCCAGGCCTGGGATTCTGGTGTGATCGACATCTCGGCTGCCGTTTCCAGTGCATTCAAGTGTTGTGTCAAATTCCATGCAAGTATCTTTCTCATCAGCCTTTTCTGGTGCAGAAAGTTGTTCTTTTATCTTTTCTGTTAAAATAAACATAATTATGTAATACTTTTCAAATTGAAGATTAGTTATTAGTGTCCAAAAACATTTAAAAGGCACAAAATTTCACAGTTGTGCACTGCAGTTAAGAGAGCTATTTCACTCATTTTTTAAAAAAAGCTACCAGTTGAAGTCGTAATATTTAAAAGGATTATTAATATACAATGGTTGAACAAGTTTTTTTTAAGGAGAAGTAGGAATCACATTCTTCAAAGGGTTTGTAATTAAGGTCACTAGTTCATAGAGACAGTAAGACTTTTACTACATGGATTTATGAAGTCTCTCTGGATTTCTGAATTTAAGTTCCCCAATTCTATTTGATTTTTCCCAGAAAAAAAAGTGATTTTATTTTTAATTCAAAGAAGTGATGTGGAAAGTCAGCTTCATTTAGTTAATTCTTTTTAGTATTCACATTTATTTTGTTCGAAAGCAGGCATGTGAAAGTACCTATTGATGTTAAGACACATCTGCAAAATTAATACTGTCATGAAGTTTGCCTGCAGTTCATATCGGAACAGGTAAAATTCTGAGTATTGCAGGAACTTACTAATTATCAGGGAAGTGGTACTGAGGAAATTGCTTTTTCTGATAGGGCATGAGTTTTTGAAATTCCTTTCCTCAAAAGGTGGTAGAAGCAAAGTTTTTGAGTATTTTTAAGGCAGTAGCAGTTACATTCTTCATAAGGGGGTGAAAGGTTATCACTGGAAGGTGGAATAATCAGGTCAGCTACCATCTTCTTGAATGGCGGAGCAGATTCAAGGGGCCAAGAGGCCATTTCTGCTTCCAATTTGCATGTTTATACGAACTGTTAGTGAAATTAAACAGAACATGTCTTGATAATAACATTCATACTTGGTCTCATAGTAAAACGCATGATAAAGTCCTTTTTTGTCACGTAGTGTGGTATATGCATTGTATTGATGAATAAGTAAAACTAAGGTTTAACAGGGAACTTCTGTTAAAGTAGCTAACAATATAATCTCTTTCCCCTCAGGGTAAAAAAATGAACATAAAAATAGGGAAAACCAGGATTGTCCTTGCATTTGACTCAGGAGTCACTGCTATCCAGGAGAAAGTCACTTGCTTATCTGTTCAGCTGATAGAAAATGTATGACAGAAACTCGCATTAAAAAAAAATTACATTTTCTGATGGTTCTGCAACATCACTGGAATCTTTACAGGGTCAGCACATTGTCCATTGTAATCTTTTCTTTCTACTTAATTTTATTCAGCTCCAATTTAAGAATAATCAATTTTCTATAAAATAAATATGTCCATTTAATAGTTATGGAAGTATAATTCTTCACGTGGACCTTGCGTAGTTTGCTATTTTCATTAAAAGGAGATTCTTTAAGAGGAATTTTACTGACATCAGTAATTAAGAGACAACCAAGCTTAACACTAAACAACATGAATAATAACACAACTTATTTAAAGCAGCTACATGACTTCAGCCCAGACATTTAGAACCATCCTCCCTCTGCAGTTGTAACATTCAGAACCAAAATTGGCTTGGAACATTTAAAGAAAAATGTTGAGCAGGTAAGGCAGCCTTCCCAGAAAATAAAAAGTCAATCTCTTAGATAAATGACTTAATATCAAATATTATCTCTGTTTCTCTCCTGAGATGCTGTCTGACCTGCTGGGAACTTCAAGCATTTTTTGATTTTATTTCAGTATTTTGCTTTTGCTTCACAGTCTCAACTTGGCTTCTAGTTATTCCAGCTTCATAAAACAGAATGACCCACAATTTATTCTGGCAATTTCAAAGCAGCAGCTGAAAGGAAATCTACTATATTAAAAAAATGTTCTTACAAGGGCAGCAATCACTTTGTCGTAAAAACAAGTGGAACATTATTCTGGAGCTGATGCACAACACACCAACTTAAGTCATGTCTAATGCCTAAATGGACATCTATTCCTTACTAAACCACCGAGATCCACATATAAAATGGTCAAAAGCAAAAAAGTTCAACATCACTACCTTCTTCCAAGGTGCCATTAGAACAATACAGCATACATAAATAACTGGATAGCTCTAATCTTACTTTTAAAGTCTTGAGATTACACTTAAACTGTTTCATTGAGAAAACAAATTGGCCAGGACATGAATAAAAACATTTATAAGGTTGCTCCTTTCTATGCATTGAGTGACAGATCACTTGAATAGCTTGCCTTAATGGGTGAAACAATAAACTAGAAAGCAACATCAATTCAGATAGTACCAATGAAAGAATGGATGAGTCCATATTTATACAGTTCTTTTCAGAGGTCACTCACTGCCAGGGCAGCATGGTAGCCAATTTGAAACAACAAGATACCACAATCAGTGATGAAACAAATAATCAACAATCTTTTTCAGTGATAGTTCAAATTGAAATTTACAGAAAGAGCAATTAGTTGACTGCTAAGTGCTAACCAGGATCTGACAAGATCTCCACTGTGCAAGTCCTACTAGTGTCATGGGATATTTTAGGTCCACCTGAAGCTTCAGTTCAATGAGTCAGTGAAATAGCTAGAACTCTGACAATGCAACATTCCTACAGTAAAGCACCAACACATCAGCTTACATATTCAAATTTCTGGACTGTATTTCCATCTGTTCCATCTGACTCTGAAGCAAAACTGCTATCACTGAGCCATGGTTAACACCATGTTGAAATGGATTAATGCAATCTTGTAGAGAAACAGATAATTTAGGTCACATATAAGGGCTTTTAAAAAGCTATCCTTTTTACCAACATCTATGCTCTTTCCCTGTAGCCAGGCAATTTTTTCAACAAGGGTATTTTTGTCAAAATTAAATGATAAAAATGTACCATCTCTAAAATACTATTTTAACAATTGCTGAATAAAATGCAATTCATTTTTAAAAATTAAGAAAAGGCAAGAAATGATATTGAAAAGAAAATTGTAAAGTTAATTTGCTAACCATTAGCACTGCTGTTTGAAAGTTCTCTTTTCTTTGATTTATTGGCAACCAAATCATCCCTTCTGGTGTGGACTGGAGCATCTGTGACTTTGATGCCTTCTCCCATCTCCAACACTTTATCCATCACTGCCTTTGAG